CAGACATCATTTTTTCCATATCTTCCTTGACTTGAGGAAGTTTTGCTGCCATCAAGTATTCTTTGATGATTTTATCAATCCTTGTTGTTCCTAGTTTTTCAGGTGCTTCTGCCTTGATACGTCTCTGATAACTACCAATCAATGTAGCCCTGGCCCAACACTCCGTGAGGTCTGTGTGGTACAAAGTTTTATCAGTTACATCCGAAGGTAAAGATCTAAACATTGACTCACCAGAAGGAATTTCTTTCTTCTTGTTAGTGTATGCCCGGTAAAGACGATCTGCAAAGTACTCAGGGTACTCTAGATCAATAAGTTCAGTGGAATTCATCAGCGATTCTGGTACGACAGTCTCTGCGTTTCGATAGTCTTAGACTTACCCTCAACCGCTTTCAGTTTCAACTTCAGTTCATCTGGAAACTTTCCAATCAAAACTTGTACAACTTCCATGTTTGCAGGAGCTAAACTACACAATTTTTCAAGGAATCCTAAAACTCTCCATCCATCTACATCCTTTTGTTTTGTTTCCCAGAGACTCATACCTTCTTGCAAGATGCCTTTCCAAGCCAGAACTTTATCAGAATAAGAGGCGGTGTCAGAGATCATAGCGGTGGCTTTTTGGGCAAATTCTCGCATTCTTTGGGTCTGATCAAGGTTGAGAAGCGGATTCGAGAGCCGGACAGCCATTGTCCCTATCGTAGGGGGTGCTTTCTTCTTTGGAAGAAACTGACTTTTGATGCCGTGAAAGATCCTGTCTTGTAATGAATCGCCAGACCTTGCGATATTTTCACACCGATGAGGTGTCTGGTCCTTCATGTGAATTGGATCAGTAGATGTGGCACTGGAAGCGTCTAACAGTCTTTCGTCCAATGCCATTTCCATTCCCAACACAGAGGGAACTGAAAATATGGACAAAGCTGTCCCAAGAAAGTATATGGATAGCTTCATTCTTTGGGTTGAAAATGAGACGAGTAAGCGGTGGAAATTGAATGATACAAAGAGGATTGAACACCGATGGAGATGAGAGTGTATGCCCTTGACTATATATGCGCCGCTTTCTCATCCGAAGCCCAAATTTATATATTCGATAGGTTTGTCTTAATTTTCTGCGCTGGAAAAACTCACGCAGAAAGTCTCTCCTTTCCAACACGTTTGCAGAGGTAGATTGTCAGGCGCAGTGGTCCTGCGGCCAGTCATTCTGAATGCATTGTCCAGGATCCGCCCGACTATATATGGGGCGCTTTCTCATTCAAAGCCCAAATCTATAACTTCGATAGCTTTGTCTTCTGGAAAATTTCCTGGGCTGTAAAAATTTACGCAGAAAGTCTCTCCTTGTCCGACACGTTTGCAGAGGTACACGATAAGGCGCAGTGGTCGTGCGCCCAGTCTGACATCATGAATGCATTGTCCAACAACGATACATAATCTGGGTTTTGAATGTACAAGACCACAAGTATCAAAATTTCCTGTGCGGTGAAAATTGACAATTTCCTGTGCGGTGAAAATTGACGAGTCTCTTCTTGTGCAGGCCGTGCAACCAGTCTGACATTCTGAACCCGTAGTCCAAAAGACGCACACTTGAGGTTTCAGTTGCTCGAGTCCTCAAGCTGTGTAGCGCAGTCATGACCATTACAAGTTGAAGTCTCTCCGCGTGTACAGGTCACACAGAGATTCTTATCTTTCTGACACATTTGCCAGCTGCGCCGTGTGGGCGGATCGACCTTCTGAAAATGGTCAACAGACGATGATGTGAAGTCCTAAGCACGTCAATAAGGCTCTGAAGTTTGAGTTCATTCAAATGGTCAACTTCAACCCATGCCTTTCAGAACAAGAAGGGGACAGAAGTCTAGTCTGACTCCGAGTTCATCAGCGGTTGTGCCATAGTGTGACTTCCTCTTTTGAAGTACATGGAATGAAACATTATTCATACTCTAGGACCAGGTTCTTCTTGCAAAGCAAACAAAATGGGTGGGATTAAGGCACAGGGAGGAGCCCAAACCAAAAACATGGTTGAAATCATCCATGAACAATGCAAGTGCTCAATAATTCAAAGCCCAATTAGGATTATGAACAATGGTAATACTCTATACCGGTAGCAAATACCTTTTAACGACAATAGGCCAGGAAATCTCAAAATATAAGAGGAAGAATCAATATTTGAGCCCATGGAGAGCTTTGAAGTCTTTGAGAAACTCGGTCTCTAACCATGAGGTTTAGGTGGTCAACGATCTTTGCTTCCATTTGGCTAGTCTTTTTATGTGGCGGCCATGATACCACACAAGAATAAGTTCCACTGGAGATTACTTGTCCACATGTTGTCAATAAGAATGATCTTTTTCAGATCCACAAGGTTTTGTATTATCTGGTGTAGATGTATAGTTCTGCAATTTGAACAGTAAATCTCTTTACAAGCCTCAGATTCTATAATTCAGCAAAACTATTTTATGTACTCATTTCTGTCATAACTTTAACAAAATTGGGTGAGGGACAAAACAGGACAAAACCCGGGTTTTGCACATTGGCGAGATTTTCAAAATAAATCAATCTTTGTTGAAAAATCTGTAGATTGTCACTGACTTGTTACTACATCCTTGTCTTCTAACACATGTTCCAATCCCACTTTCTGCCCTCAAGCGTGTTTTGCCAATGTACCCTGTATAAGAAGAAATACCTCAGTATCAGATCAGAGATTCTTGATGGAGCAAAGTGAATGAGATCACTGACCCATACTACACAGCTACAAATTTGCCGTCAGAATGACCACCAAATTACCCCCGGATCACATGTAAAAAAAGTCAGAGACGATTCATTGTTTTGCTAACACCGTTCAGAAAGGCGGCCACAGCATCCATCTGGTAGACGTCCAAATCATCTCTAGCAGCCAAAGCACAGACAATACACAAAGGGACCAAACGAGCAGTTGGTGGAAAAGTCTTCTTGTAATCTTCTCCAAATTCCTGGAAAAATCCCTGCGCACAGAGCCTCACCTTGTATTTAAGTAGCTCCCCTTCACTACCCAGTTTCTTCTTGAAAACCCAAGTAGTTCCAATAGCCTTTTTGCCAGCAGGAAGGATTACCACATCCCAGACCTTACAAGTATCCATGTTGTCCAGTTCAGCAGTAATTGCCTTTTGCCATTCAGATTAATTGGGCAACATCAAAGCTTGTTTATAGAGCCTTGGAGGCATGACGGTTGTTTTGACAATGTTAGCTTGACAATGTGTTGAACCCTCAGGGAGAATATTGAAGACATCAATGTTGCTTGAGATATCCTTTGGCACTTCTGACCACACGTCATGTTCCCAGCCAGGCTTGGATTTTGTCGTTATCACAAAGAACTTCTTGATGTTCAGCTTCATCTTCTTCCTGTTCTTCAGTAGGAGTATGATTGTTGTCTTTGACAGGAAGATCAAGATGAGATGGATCTTCTGCAACGTGAGTGGAAGAACCCTCTTCAATAACAGGAGACGTTGAATTATAAGATGATGGTCCAACAGGAGACTCAGGTAGAGGAACATCAGCAGGTGGAGATTGAGAAGATGATTGAACTTCGGAAGAAACGGTAAGATCTTCTTCAAAAAGATTATCACTACACCAAATGTAATCTTTACCGGGCGGTAAAGAAAACTACTGACATAGAAAAATCCTGAGGAAACAGGAAGAGAGCTAAAAATCTGAAAAAATATGCACCTTGTTCCTAGATCTTGGGGCGTCATGATGAGTATTTTTTTGTATTTTACACACAGATATTGGTTTATGTACTAACAATAAACGCTGAAAATCATCAAAAACTCACATGTAACAATACCTGAAATTTGGGTCATGAGTATGAAGGCAATATTTTGTGGTCTAAAAACTTCAATAACTTTTGCAATTCTGCTCCAAATAACTCGATTTCTGGTTCATTCAAAAGCTGAACTATTCTCCTTCACACTTCATAATGCTAGTAAGGTGCTATCTAGTCATTTAAACACTCTACATATGTTCAAACAGTTCTGCATGAATAGCTCTGTAGGAACTTTTTTAGACCAGCTACAGATGTGATGTCTCAATGAAAAATGTAGAGGAAAGGCTCACCTTTTTAATGCACTTCAAATCGAGTGATTTGATTCAGAACCGCAAAAGTTATTGATGTTTGAAGATTCCAAAATCCTGTCTTCAAAGTCAAGGGCCAAATTTCAGGTATTGTTACAGGTGGGTTTTTGATGATTCTCAGCCTTTATTGTTAGTACATTAACCAATATTGGTGTGTAAAATACAAAAAAATACTCGTCATGACGCCCCAACATCTAGGAACAAGGTGCATATTTTTTCAGATTTTTAGCTCTCTTCCTGTTGCCTCAGGACTTTTCTATGTCAGTAGTTTTCTTTACCGCCCGGTAAAGATGACATTTTGTGTAGTGTATATCAAGATTGACACTTGTGTATGATTTTGCATCTTCAATGCCGGAAAATTCATTGACATTGAAAGTAACGTCATGAGAATATACAATGCGACATCTTCTAATCTCACGTGATAATTCTTTTGACCAACTTGATAACCGAGAAAGATACCTTTCATGGATGTGTTGTCAAATTTTCTTCGAAACTGTTTTGGAATCAGTACAGAAGCACGACATCCAAAAGGCTTTAATCTAGAGTAGTCAAAAGCTCTCCCAAACCACAGCTTGTAAGCTGACTTATTATCCGTAATTTTGCCTGGAGTGACGTTCTCGAGGAAAACAGCAGTCATCACAGCTTCCGCCAAGAAAATATAAGGAAGATTGGCTTGTCAAAGTAATGTTCTTGATTTTTCAGCCGTTGTCCTATTACCTCGCTATGAGACAGGATTATGTAAAGGAGTATAAGGCACGCTCAAATAGGAAGTGGTGCCATTTTCATTGAGAAGCTTTTGAAAATCTTTTGACCTGTATTCTCTCCCGTGGTTGTTGACCAGAATCACAATTTTCTTGTTATGAAAAGTTTCTACGTTGTCTTTGAACTGAAGAAAACAAGGAAAAGTGTCTGATTTTAATTTCAAAATGTATACATGTTTGTAATTTGTACAGGCGTCCGTGAGCTTGAAGTAGTGTTGACCTCCACTTTCAGACGGAACAGATATCTTCCCACTCAAGTCACTATGAATCATATCTGGGAATTTTTCACAGAGGGAAAATGACCGGAGTAGGGCAAACAATGACCCTTGGAAAGGCTACAAATTTCACAATCCCAATCTGCAGGTGCAGATACATCAAACATCATCTTAAGCCAGCCGGATTTGGGATGACCTCCTGTTGAATTCTCCAATCGACTTACAGAGAAGTAAAAGATTAGACAAGAAAAGATCAACATCAAGAATCAAGTATCAGATGAGAATAGGGACGTACATTAAAATTACCTCAACTTACTGTTTTTTGTTTCAGAATCATCTACCATATATCTCTTGTAGCACATTCCAATGTACTTCTCTTTCCCCAGCTTTGGAAAGAGAAGTACATACTTTTTCATCTCTCATTTCACTATCATTACTGTTTCTCTCAATGCCTTGATTAACCGTTATGTTTTGTTTTACTTATTGATGTGCTAGAAATCTGTTCTCTCAAGTTCCTAAGATCAGTATCAAATAAAGTGATACCTATAACTAATTCTGTCTATCTGAAATTCTGTACTGCCCTTTGTAAGATACTGATTAGTTTCTTATTTCTTATTGATTCTTTACTTCTCTAAGGCCGTAGCCAGACTGAACAATCACCAAAATAGTATTCCTAGAAGAAGCCTGAAAACACCGTACTATCAATAAAAGAACTAAGAGAAAAGAGAAGGAGGTAAAGAAGTCCTCCTGGGGGAAGTCATACCTGGAAACACCGTACTATCAATAAAAGAACTAAGAGAAAAGA